CTCTAAGGGAGAGACCAGCCACCATTTGGAGGAAGCTCATTTCTGCTGCTTGTATCCGATATCTTGTTCCTTCTGTCACTACCCACAGCTTTTGACCATAGGTGAGGGCAGAGACATACATCGATCGGTCATTTGAGAGCTTCGCTGCCGAAGCACCTCCGACACAGTTGAATGGCTTCTCCAGGTCCACAAAACATGTGTAGACTGGTTAGGCAAACTCCCATGCACCCTCAAGTATCTTCGAGAGGGTAAAGAGCTTGTCCAGTGTTCAATGACCAGATCAAAAACTGCATTGTTCCTCCTTTATCCGAGGTTTGACTAATGGATGGGCTGTCCTTTCCAGCACCCTGGTATAAACTTTCCCAGGAGGGCTGAGGAGTGTGATCCTCCTGTAGTTGGAAGACACCCTCCGCAGAAACCAGTCTTCAAATCGCCTGATGGTTTGCATGAATTTCTTTGAGGCAGTCCGATAGTCTTTTTTCATGTTTTTGCTTCAGCCACTCCCCAACCCCCATTCCGCTTGGGCTGTCGGTAGCTATCAGCTGCCTCCGAAGTCCCACAGGCTAACCAAGCTTGATAGGACTCCTTCTTCAGCCTGGTGGCTCCCTTTACTTCTGGCGTCCACTATTTAGTTCAGAAGTCACCACACGCACAAACCACCTTGCGGCGGCAGCTCAATGCTGCAGCTTCGGCAATGGAGGTGCCGAACATGGTCCATTCAGACTCAATGTCCCCAGTCTCTCTTGGAATGTTATTGAAGCTTTGCCGGTGGTGTGCATTCAAGATCTTAGAGACCGGGGCCTCTGCCAGGCGTTCCCAGCGCACCCACACTATACATTTAGGTGCTGTCCTGAATCCTCCCCCCGCCACCTGATCCAACTCACCGCCAAGTGGTGATACGTTGACAGCTCGGCCCCTTTCTTTACGCTAGTGTCCAGAACATATGGCCGCAGGTCTGGTGATATGATTACAAAATCGATCATCAACCTGCAATCTAGGGTGGGCCCAGCCAGGCCTCATGGACTAAATATAGTCCATGGGGCCTGGCCCCAGGAAGAAGTTTATATTCAGTATATGAGTTTATATTCATATACTGAAGTTTATATTCAGTATATGAATATAAACTTCTTCCTCCCAGACTCTCGCCCTCAGACACCCTTCCCATGCCTGGGTCCAGAACGGGGTCTCAGTAACCCTATCCTGGGTGAAAGAGTGAACTGTTCCCTTGATTGTATACTCATATAGGGGTCTTTTGAATCACTCTTTGTCTGGTCCCTCACCTAGGACCAAGTTCCCATCGAAGACCCTACCAGGGGGCAAAAGTCCCCCAACAACAAGCCCCTGATGTCATGGTTCTCAAGATCTGGAGAGGTCGTGGTGTGTGTTTTTTGTCTTCGCCTCTCCCAACAGGGCAGAACTGGACCTTGATTCCCCGCCTATGAACCCGCCCTGAACACACACCTGTGGCTCATTTACACTAATGCTGGCAGACTACTTAAGATGGCAAGAGAGGCTGCTTCCTCGCTGGATCGTCACACTACCTACCGTCAGTGTAGCCTAGCCTTTTGAGGCTAGAGCCTTTTGAAATAGAGCATCCTCCTAACATTATTTTCCTCTGTGTACAGGCCTTCTAGATTCTCTGCCCGTCTTCCCTGCCGTCTGGATTCCTGTGATTGTGTGCGAGTGAGCATGAGCATTTTGGAGTGGATTGAGTTGAAGAGGAGCGTGTGTGCACCTGCCTTGGACCTTCCCTCCCCTTTTGACCCCCCTCCACTCCCTGGAGCCCCGTGTTATCTGTCTCACTGTATATATGTATAAATCCTCACTTGGTGCCACATTGTAAATAAACCCTCACCTTCTCTCTAAACTTCAGAGTCCTGCGAGTGAGCCCTCTGCCTAATAATCTGTGACAGAACGATCCAGCCACTATGGACTCAGCGGATTCTGACCCTGTTCAACGGGCTCTCCTCACTCAGGAAGCCCTGCTGGAGCAGCACAAGAAGATGCTCCACCACATTAATAAAGAGCTCTCCGCCCTCATATAGGGTCTCGCTCAGCACACACCCCTGGTAAGCCGACTCTCTCCGAGCGTAAATCAATCTCCGTGTGTAAGTCCCTCTCCATCTCCGAGTCCCCAGGCCGCTGCTACACCCCCCAACCCTCCCGCTGCCTGGCTAAAAGCCCCGGGGAGGACGATGCCAAGCCCTGAGCTGTTTACAGGTGAGCTAGAGTAATGTTACGGTTTTCTTGCCCAAGTCTCCTTGTTTTTTCGGCAGCAGAACAAAACATATGCCAGGGACGATGCCCGGATTGCTTTCTTTGTTCCGCTGCTATGAGACCGCGTGCTTCAGTGGGCTCAGGAATTATTGAAAACTCTGCCGAATATCTGCTATCCTGAGTTCCTGTCTGAATTCAAAGGCATGTTTGAAAAGGACGGCGGGCCCTCTGCTGCTGCACAGCGTCTACTAAATCTAAAACAAGGTAAACGCACTATAGCTGACTTCTCAATTGACTTCCGCATTCTCGCTGTAGAGACCGGGTGGAGTGAAGAGGCAGTAAAGAAGGTTCTGCTCAACAATATTTAGGAGGATTTGAAGGATGAGCTCATAACGAGAGAATTGCCATCATCTCTCAGCTTTTTAATGACCCTGTGCATTCACGTTGACGAGCGTCTGCGAGTGCACCGCGGGACGTGACACTCAGTTTCCCAGCATGCTCCGCTCAGTGTTGGGATTGTTGCTGGAAGTGCTGCTTCACCACAACAGCCGGCCTCGATGGATGTGAGTCCCAGCGAGGCGGAGCCGATGCAAATCGGACACGCCCGGCTTACGCCAGCGGAGAGGCAGTGCCATTTCATGGCCGGTGAGTGTTTATACTGTGGCCGTCACGGACATTTCATCGCCGTTTGCGCCACATAGGCAAAAGGGCATGCACGCCAGTAAAAAGGGGGGGTACTGGTGGGCGAAATAAACATTGCACATTCCCCTCCTCATCTTTTGTTGCAAGCTAGGCTCACTGTTCACACCACCACTCACTCACTCAAGGCTTTGAGAGACTCAGGTGCAGAACAGAGTTTTATTGATGCATCACTTGCTAAAAAAACTGGGCTTAACTATTGAACTTCTGCCTCATGCTCTTCGAGCCTCATCTCTGAATGGACAGCGTTTGCCTGATGTCACCCATGTTACTGAACCTGTCATTCTGTGTTTGTCTGGAAATCACTCTGAATTAATCAGTTTGTTTGTTTTCAAAGCCCCGCTGACGCCGCTTATCTTGTCTATAGTTCTTGGCTATCCTTGGCTGTTGCAACATAATCCACTAATTGATTGGCAGGCTGGCTGTGTGTCTAGATGGGGGGAAGGATGCCACATGACGTGCTTAAAATCCGCCATTCCATCCGTCGGCTCCCCTGCGTCACCCCCACAGATTCCTCCGGATCTAACAGCAGTTCCTTCAGTGTACCATGAACTAGCGGAGGTGTTTAGTAAGAATCGCACTCGTTCTCTTCCCCCACACCGGCCTTATGATTGTGCCATTGATTTGTTACCAGGAGCCCCACTGCCTACCAGCCAACTCTATAGCCTATCACATCCAGAAAGAGAAGCCATGGAGGAGTACATTATCGACTCACTGGCTGTGGGAATCATTCGGCCATCTACTCCCTTGGCAGCAGGATTTTTCTTTATTGACAAGATAAGTCCCTCTGGCCATGCATTGACTATCAGGGCTTGAATGCAATCACTGTCAAGAATAAATACCCGCTGCCCCTGCTGACCTCAGTGTTTGAGCTACTCCACGGGATGAAGATATTCAGTAAACTTGACCACCGGAGTGCTAATCATTTGGTTCGCATTAGGGAGGGGGACGAGTGGAAGACGGCATTCAACACCCACCTGGGACATTTTGAATATCTCGTCATGCCTATGGATTAACAAATGCCCCAGCAGTCTTCCAAGCTCTCGTGAATGACATCCTCAGAGACTTCATCAACCACTTTGTTTTCGTCTACCTAGACAATATACTCATCTTCTCCAGGTCAGTGGCAGAACATAAAAGACATGTCAAACTGGTATTACAAAGATTGTTGGAAAACCGCCTTTTTGTCAAAGTAGAGAAGTGTGAGTTTCATGTAAACACCGTTTCCTTCCTTGGTTTCATAACTGAGCAGGGGAACTTGAGACCGGTTCCTGGAAAGGTCAAAGCGGATTTGGAGTGGACCACACCCCCAAACCACAAGCAGCTTCAATGTTTTTTGGGGTTTGCAAATTTCTATCGTCGCTTCATTTGTGACTTCAGCAAAATTGTCTCAACTCTTACTTACCTCACTTCCCCTAAGGTTCTGTTCCAGTGGGGGCAGGTAGCCACTGAGGCATTCGATCATCTGAAACAACGTTTTGCCTCCGCCCCCATCCTCTCCCTGCTGGATATCAACCAACCCTTCATCATGGAGGTGGATGCCTCAGATACAGGCGTGGGATCCGTCCTCTCTCAGAAGACTGAAGGTAAACTCCATCCATGTGTTTACTTCTCTTGTTGTCTTTCACCAGCAGAGTGAAACTACGATGTTGGCGACAGGGAGCTACTCGCCATCAAACTGGCACTGGAGGAGTGGCGGCACTGGCTGGAGGGGACGGCACAGCCTTTCATTGTGTGGACCGACCACAAGAACCTCGCCTACCTTCAGGCAGCAAAACACCTCAACGCATGTCAGGCCAGGTGGGTGCTTTTCTTCACCCGTTTCAATTTCTCCATTACTTACAGGCCCGGGTCCCGAAATGTCAAAGCAGATGCTTTATCACGTCAGTTTCCATCCTCTGAGGGGGATCGGGAGGTGGCGTCGATCTTGCCTCCTGGCTGTGTCATAGGAGGCCTCCCTTGGGAGATTGAGTCGATGGTGCGGCAGGCCCAGCGTACCGAACCTGATCCGGGGACAGGACCCCCCAGGGCGGCTCTACGTCCATTCGTCGGTACGAGCCCAGGTGCTCCAACAAGACACAGCAAGATTTTCATGTCACCCTGGAATCCAACGCACTGTCTCCTTTCTGGAAAGCTCTTTCTGGTGGCCGTCTTTAGCCCAGAATGCCCGAGAATATGTGAAAGCCTGTACCACCTGCACCCAAGATAAGTCACAAAACACTCCCCCGGTGGGCTTACTTCTGTGGCCCACCTAAAAAGGATAAAGCCTGGATGTACAATGTTGTACTTCTTAAAGAAAATGAATGTATATGATGACGAGAAAATGATGTTGAGAAAGTCACATGAAATCACAAGATACAAGAAATGTATCTTATTAAAAATGATATGCAATATCTTTAATTCATAACTTTCAAATTTCATACCTAAAGCTAATTTAAACAAATTCAAGGTTAAGAGAAACAAGAGATTTTCTTTTTCAATTTAATTTGAGATGCTAGCTTTGTGAGGACCCAAATGAACTTCCATCAGTGGTACTCACAGTGTCCTTACTGACACCAGAAAATGCAGAGTCATCCTGTTCATGGGTCATTCTTTTGAGCATATTGGTGAAATATGATATGTGACAAGTACACAACAGGAACTCATTTTATTTTTTAATTCAGATAACTCAAATGTAAAAGAGCAAGAAAACATTTTATAATGCTTTAATTATTCCAGAAATAGAATATTCCCATTTGAAATATTTTTTTAAAAGATTGCTGTACATCTGCAAAAATACAAAAACAAAAGAAAATCATCCCTCTAAGCCAAGTTCATCTGGTTTCACCATGCTATATATAACCATGCATATTAAGCTTAACTAAAAGAGTCAAAGGAATGATTTGAAAGACTGGACACGGTTATTTGCTGTTTTTTCCAGTCAGATAAAGTGATCATCTGTTACTGCTTACATTTTTGATTGCCATTTGCTTCTGTTTTGCACAGAGTTAAACAAGCATGAAATGTCTGACTGCATCCTTTTTTGCTGTTTCTATGGTACGTGTCAGAAGGACAGTATAAAATCAGGAGTCAGCGTACGAACCAGCAGCATCTCAGAAGAGAGACTAAGCTACAGAAGGCTTAACCACAGCCATGGATACTGTCAAACATCAGAAAAAGAATACTTCAGGTAAACATTAAATGCTACTAGCTGCACACACTAACATTATTTTACTTAAATTATAACAATGTCCTTTCTGATTATGTTTTTTTCCAACAGCACTCAAAAAATCTAAGTCTGTGAAGAACATCAATCATTACACAAATGTACACGGTCTGCCTTCTATCGAGAAGATTGTGAGCTCAGTGGAGGACACCCCCAGGCCCATCAGCACCCAGATCGTTGGTACAATCCCAGAATGGATCAAAGGAAACTTCCTGAGAAATGGGCCCGGAAAGTTTGAGATCGGAAACCACAAGTGAGTGCTGCGTCTTTGTGTGTTTATCCATTCGCTTCAGACATCATGAAGCTCACTCCCCTCTGCATTGCATCTATTTCTCTCCAGATTTAACCACTGGTTTGATGGCATGGCTCTCATGCACCAGTTCAAAATATCAAATGGGCAAGTGACTTACAAAAGCCGCTTCCTATCCAGCGACAGCTACCAGACCAACAAGGAGCATAATCGCATTGCTATATCTGAGTTTGGGACTGTAACCATGCCGGACCCCTGTAAAAATGTCTTCCAGCGCTTCCTGTCAAGATTTGAATCACACAGTGAGTATCTTGAAGACAAAGCAGCCTGTTGATGCACTTGCTATAGAATAAGTAATTCAAAGCTTTCTTTCCCTCTAGAGCCCACAGACAATGCCAATGTGAGTTTTGTGACCTACAAAGGTGACTATTATGTCAGTACAGAAACCAACATCATGCACAAGGTGGACCCTGACACACTGGAGACTGAAAAGGTACCATGAGTGTAATGATATACATGCAGCTGAAGTTTTAGTGGCACATGTATCGAACTGTAAAAGTAGGTATAGAAGCAATAAAAACTGCAAACCTTTTGTGCCATTGCATTTGTTTCTATTAGGTGGACTGGAGCAAATTCATTGCTGTGAATGGAGCCACAGCACACCCTCATACTGAGCCTGATGGTACGACATACAACATGGGAAATTCCTACACCTCGAAAGGTATTTAAGAAACATCAGATCCATTTCCACACTACAGGTTACGGATCAAAGATCTAACAGTATCTGGCATGACAGGATCATACTACAACATTATCCAAGTGCCACCAACCAAGAAAACAGAAGATGAAACCCTGGAGGGAGCCACAGTGCTGTGCTCGATTCCTTCAGTGGACAAGACCAAACCTTCATACTATCACAGCTTTGGTGAGCAAAAAGTCTCATGCAGTAAAGCATGCACATCTTGAATTTGGGAATAAAAAAGCACAGGTATCACAATGGAGTGGTACTCTCAGTTGATGTATGGAATGAAAATGATTTAAATCATTGGTTTTCTTATAGTCCTATAGTCTTACTGGAGCTGAGTCCCGCTGCAAAGAATCATAAATAGAAACTTCTTCTCATTTCGTTATAGCAATGTCTGAGAACTACGTGGTGTTCATTGAACAGCCCATCAAGCTGGACCTGCTGAAGATTGTGACAGGCAAGCTAAGAGGAAAAAGTATCAGTGATAGCATATTGTGGGACCCCAAACTCAACACAATCTTCCATCTGATCCACAAACACTCTGGGAAGGTAGGACTCTAACATGCAAAAATGATTAGTTAAATGATTACTTAAGTGATTAAGTAAGGTAAACTTAATTCACAATAAAAAGTATTCTTCCAAGTCTCATAAGTATTGTTCCTGTGACTTGATTGAATTTTGAGTTAAGTTTTGGTCATCTATTTTTAATGAATGCATTTTATTTTTCTTCTAAGAGAGATACTGAATTTAGGTGAATATTTGAATGCAAAGATAGGGTTAGGGTACAAATGTGAAGATATGAAAGCAGTGTTTTGTTGCAAATGCAAGATAAAAGCAACAATAAAAGTGCAATAAAAACATTTTTGTCAAATCAGCAAATAATCATGACAAATAATAGTAATCTGAATACGGATTATGTTAGCATAACTGAAAAATAAAGAGGAAGGGGCTAAAAGCAAGTTTCCGTCTGACACCTGATGCTCTGTATCAATAGGTAGAGTGATGATTTATGTTACAAAGATTTCAGAAGAAACAAATAAATGTTCAGTTTAGTTAATAATTATTATTTTTTTGCATTTGCAGAAATGTGAAATAATATTTAAGTCACATTAATAAAATATTAAGTACAATTATTTGACTTGAGCTAGAACGCAGAACTGAACTAGTGCCACAGTGCATTTCCATTGTTGTTTTTGTGTTTCAGGTAAGCTCCATCAAGTATCTTGCAAAGCCACTATCAACCTTCCATCAGATCAATGCATTTGAGGAGGATGGATTCTTGATCATAGATTTGTGTGCATCAGATGATGGCCAGGCAATCACAA